GTTGGCAGGGAGGACAGAAAGCTCCAGGCAGCTCTGCTGGGTCCATCTGCTCATCCATCCCACTGCAAAGGGAGGTCCTGAGCTGAGCCCTGCTCCTGGCTCTGCAACCACCTTCTCCAGCTGATCCGGACCTACCCGAGGCCACGAGGAATAGAAACATCCCCATCCTGCATCCCTGCCCCACCAAACCCTGGGGAGCAGCTGAGACCCCGGGGGCTGGTCCTGGTGGATGCTGAGGGTCCCCATCACCCTCTTCTCGGCAGGGAGCTCCGGCCCCGACAGCGTTAGACCCTCCTCGGCAGGAAAGCGCAATGCGGCGTGCGCAGGTCCTTGGCACAATTAGCCAACAAGTGGCTGTTTTGTGAGGGATTGTTGCTGATGTGTTTTAAGTGGCTTTCTGAGTGGAAAATGTGAGGCGCTGGAGAGGCCGGCAGACAAAGAGGGGGATGCATTAGGTTTTATTGGTCTGCTTCGCACACATCTGACATCACTCCATGGAGCAAGTTCTGCCCGGCTTTGGGGAAAATGAAAAATAAAGCAAGAAAAAGGGGCCAAGGGTACAGGGGCGGGGGGAGCACGAGTGATTCAAGCAGGCAAGTGGGGGCTTAATAGCAGGAGACACTGGAGCAAACTGTGTCAACCAGATGGGACCCGGGTGCCGCGGGAGGAGAGGGGAATTAGCCAACCCGCGCTTTGTTCCAGCAGAAAGCGCGGCCCTCTCCCCCCAGGAGCTGCCTACATGTGATATAATACAGCCCCTTTCAGCCGCTAAGCTGGCCAAGGACAAAAGTCACCGATAAATAGCGAGAGGGCGAGGCTGAAAGCAAAAGGCAGAGTTGCCAAGAGCCCCCGCTTTCTCCTTGGGCCGCTTGCACTGACATGGCCCTGGCCTCCAGCACAGGGACCCATGGGCACGGTGGTGGCAAGGCTGGGGGCGATGCCATGGGACAGGGCTGGGGGCTGGAGCAGTTTTGGAGGTATGGTACCTTCAGCAGGGGTGTTCAAGGGTTGTCCATGGTTTCTCTGCCTTAATGCCCTTAGCCAAGCTCCAAGAGCCAGAGCCCCCGTGCCTCGGGCATCCCGCAGCGTGCATTGGGAAAGGCTGGAGGCTGCTGTCCTGGCCATGACTCCTGGCAGTCCACCGCTTGTGCTTATTAAGCCAATGTGCATCCTTTACCTGCATGCCAGGCTCCTGTAGAAACACCTCCAGCACCAAATAAAACAGTTCAAAAATCCCTCAGCCAGCCCCGACCACCAAGGAGCCAGAAGCAGACCCCACCAAGCGCTCTCCCTGCAGCCGCCTGCTTGCAGCCATGGGCATCCCCCAGTTCCTCTGCTGCTCATCCAGAGCCTGGTGGGCACCCTGAGCCCCCACCCACTGCCACCCCGCTGCCCGCAGCAGCTCCACGTCTGCTGGGTGGGGAACTTGAGGGCTGAAGCCAACCCAACTCCTCAGGTTTTAGACCCAAAGGCACCCTGGCCATCATGCCCTGGCACAGAGCTCAAGACCCGCAAACATTTGCTGGAAGGAGACCCCAAACACCCCTGGTCTGAGCTGGCACCCCTGGTTTGGGGTCTCCCTCCGCTCCCAGCCCCCAGCAGGGACCCAGCACAGCCAAGCACTAAACCAGCCATGGGGCTGTGCAAACAAGTGGGACCCCCCCATCCTTCCCCTCAGAGGGGTCTTCCTTGCTCTTGTGGAAATATTGATCCAGATAAACCAGGGAGATGCATTAGGTGCTCCAGGGGGGTCAGGAGATCAGTGGCTCAGCTGGCCACCCGCTGCCCTGTGCCCGTGGGGTCCAGGATGGGCAAGAGGAGCGCTGGGGGCCTTGGGAAGCCCCTTACACCACCGAGGGGGCCAGGGCCAAAGTGCTTTTGCCGAGGGGAGGTAAAACAAATCGATGAGGGGCCACCGTGACACGCTGACCCTGGCGCTGAGCTGTGGTTTTAACGCGTGACAGTAAATCTGGGCAGGGGGCTTGGAGGCAGATGGCTGGAGGAGGGAGGCGAGACAGGGCACTGTCTGGTGGGATGAGGGAAGGACGAGAGCTCCCAAAGCGAGTGGAGGCTGGCACATCCCCCAGGGAAAGGAGAGGAGGTGGGAGAGGGCAGCTCGGATGCTAACCCAAGGATGGGTGATGCCTCTGCCATGACTGGGATGTCCCTTGTAGCCCAGCATCACTCCCGAGCAGTCCCTCCTGCCACCACACATGCCCTGGTCCAGCCGGGAGGGCTGTAGGGTGCCAGAGCAGAGAGACCCCTAGGCTTTCTCCAAACCCATTTCTATCCGGCCAAGGGGAAGCATCCCCTCTGAACGGAGGTCTCAGTTTCCAGCCCTCGCTGTCTCTCACCCCTCACTGAAGCCAGAGGAGAGGGCAGAAAGGCACCAACGGCTGCAGATCCGGTTACCTGAGGCCAACAAAACCTACCTGTCCCTTCCCGGCTGCTCCCCCTGCCCCCTCTCCGGGGGGACAAACCAGAAGGACCCCCCCGGCCCTCCCCGAGCATCGCCGGGTCGCTGCCCACCGCGATCGAGTGACCAGATGGACGGCAGGCTCGCGCCGCAGCCTCCTCTGTGGGTCCCTTGTCCCCCGCCCCAAGCCGGCTGAGCTTTGACGCTCTGTCCCCCCGGGGCAGCCTTTTGTCAGGGGTGTGCAGAAGGGCCCCTGTGTCCCTCTGATCCCCGCCGGCCCCACGGCAGTGCGTCCCCGGCCGGAGCATAAAGCTGGCTTTCAGGGATCCGGCGTTGGGAAACTCCCAGGGAAGAAGCAAGGGAGCTTCTTGTTAAACGGGGAGACAAAGCCACCTTGTTAAGGGGTTTACAAAGGCGACCATCTCCCCCTTGCCTGGGAAGCTCGCGGCCGGCGACTCCCAACCTCACCGGGGGGATGGCTTTCCCTCAGAAAGATGGGAACACTTAATAGCCGTGCTGTGCTGCAGCCCTGTGACCCATGTTCTCCCATGAACCCGCTTGGAGCCACGTCTCCAAAGGAAAACGGGGACCCAAACGCTCGTTGTGGGGTCTCCCATGGTTTTCCCGTGAATGCATTGCCAGTGGTGGTGTCCCTGCTGGGGGAATGCCATCCTTGGCGCTGCCAGACTATTACCAGCACTCGGGTACCACTGCCTGCCCAAAATTACATGATATTGGGTGAGGTGGGCCAGGGTCCCCTCCCGCACAGCCTGCAGGGGGGGGAGGTGGAGCCCCAGGAGGGGAGGTGATGAGGACGGAATCCCTCAGGGCACAGCCACACAGGACCTCCCCGTTTCCCTCCTGCAAAACATCCCCCCTTCCGCTCCTTTTCTCCAAGCAATAAAATAAAGTTTAAGCAAAACCCCAGTGGCCCCACAGGTGCTCTGCCCCCCCCGGGATTTTTTTTTTAA